ACATGTTGCGTTTATATTTTTGTTCAGCATAAAAGGCTGTTTATAGAACAATGGTGCTGTTTTTTGGCTGGGTCTTGGCAGCTCCAGCCTGGTCCCTGATCATTGCTAGCTGGGAATCAGAGAGAGGTGACGCGGGGTGAGCAATGCCTCCTAATGGCTTCTTGGCGGCTATCCCTCTTGCTAGCCTCATCTGGAGCTCTGACTATTGTAGGAGAGTGGAGTGATACTAAATCTAATCCCTTTCATTGAGGGATCCACAGCTCCTAGAACTCGTCGCGGGGGGAGGTCAGATGGGTGGGTAATTAATTTGGACTGTTATGCAATTAAACCTTCCCCCAATCTTGGCTCTAATGAGCAAAGCAGATATTCAATTATAAAGTGTTTACTGGGGAGAATTACATCACAACAGTCAAACGTCTGCATTTGATGATATTCTACGGAACACTTCAGTTGATAGGTTTCAAGTGCATCTACCATATTCATATAGTACTCATTTTTTGTTTAGTATGATGCAAGAAAATCAAACCTCATCGTAATCTACAAACTTCATTCTCCAATTACAGACCAAGAGTGTGGCCCTATTATCAGATTAAGAGTTTTCAAAGGAATATAATGTAGATCACTGCACAATTATCAAACATCAATCATATGCAAAGATCAGAGCAAACATAATACTTAGAGGGTGAGTTGATTGAGTTTGAGGGGTTCATGAGTTTCTGGTTCAAGATTAGGTTTCTCAATGTTCAGGCAATACTGGTCAACCATGTTAGCAGAAAGAAAAAAGGAGGTACCCGGATGCAAAGGGATCACCCACCTGCACCTTGCTCTCAGCTTCACTGATGAGTTTCTGAGCCTCTTTAAGCTTGTTTGTCTCGCTAGTTAACTGGACAGATGGCAAACACAGACACAGAAATGACATACAGACGTTCACACAGACACAGTGAGGGTGGTTAGCTAGACAGAGAAAACAGCAGTACTTTTGTTAACAGAGAACAGAGGCTAACATCAAACACAGGAAAAAAGTCAAGCAGAGGGGTAAGTTATAGAGAAATTACCTGATACAGTTAAAACATGGTTATGATGAAATTAGTATAATGTGTGTGTGTGTGTGTGTGTGTGTGTGTGTGTGTGTGTGTGTGTGTGTGTGTGTGTGTGTGTGTTGCATCTGTACTACCTGTCAGATGGTATACTAAGATCACATTTATTTAATATCCTCAAACAAACAAAAAATGATTTTCAGCATTAAAATGTCACCATCCCTTAAAGGTATATTGGTATTACATGAAAAATAACCTAGTCATTTTTATTAATTTTTTTATCTACAGGACATAGATGAAACAGCCATTTATATGATAGCACAGTGGGTGACATATTTATGTATCCTCAAAACCCATTCAATTGTCCCCTTTGGAACGCTATGTTCTAATATGTCCAAGCAAATCACACTCCCCACTTTTCCATCTAATATATATATACAATCATTGATTTTATCCCAAAGACTTTGTGTTAGAAATGTGCCATTGTCCCTTTAATATTTCACTCTATATCACCTAACCAATAAACGAGGAGCAGGAACAAAGTCACATTCTAACATCTTAACGACAGCCGTTGCGTAGATGGGTACATACTCAACTGTGTAGTGAAACATATGTATATGGAGTTGTTCCTACAGAGTTCACCTTACTGTGGACTGAGGAGTATTAAATATTTAACATGTATAATGGAAAAGGAGATGGAAACTTTCATAAAGGAGACCGAATAAGGACTTCCATTTCATCAGAGTTTAGAAATTGGTCATAAAGTGCAATATTTAAGGTGAATAGGGAACTTTTATTTTATACTCCCACCTTAACTATGGACTGTGAAGATGTTAATATATCCCCTGGGGAATGTGGATGGCATGCCGTGTCAAAACAAAACATGAGCTTTAATGTTTAAGCCTAGCTTAGACTCCAGCTGTGATGGATGGAACTTAAGTACATTACACTAGTACAGTACACAGAACACTAATGTATAGAAGATCTCTATTTTAAAGACCATATCCCAAGGGAAAGTGGATGGCATGCCGTGTCTTAACAAAACATGAACTTTAACCCCTCAAGCATAGCTTAGACTCTTCAGCTGTGATTGATGGAGCTTATGAACATTACACTAGTACAATACAGTACACATGTATTAAACCTAAGGTATTGAAGGTATTGACATAAACATATGTTTTAAGATGTAATAGCCAGAGAAACAGCAGGTAGACTGGCAGAGCCAGAGAGTAGTCCGCTACGCCTTCCAACCTTTTCCCAACCATACTGGTTTAGCTACATGACCACCAGTTTGTGAAGGCCCAATAATGGCATGGCACAGAGTAGGTCCAAGGTACCTACCGCACCTCTAAATTATTCATCTCACCCTTATCCAATTCTATGAACGCCTCCCCCGTTCTCTCTGAGCAGAGGTGGGTTGGAAGGTGGATAAATGACATTTGTTGCGTTTTCATTGTGCTTTGTCGATGTTTACCGGCGAAACCTGTGCTCGATCGGATTGCGGGGGATAATCAAACAGACATCAAAAGGGGGCTGCTTGTTACAACGGGAAAGCTCCCTGAGACAGATTCTCATTAAATTTGTCGGTTCATAGACAAGGTGAAGTAGCAGGGGTTAGGAGACAGTGAGATGTGTGTGCTTTTATTTCCACAAAGAGCTCTGTCGACGAGATGTGAACAGCGTTCCAACTTCATTCATATTCAATAAAATGGCAGACGCACCACCACAGCAGCTTTGATGAAGAATCTGTGTCTTTGCATGGATTTAGAGGTGCATCGCTCCGGAAGATAATGGCTTTGTACAACACTGTGTCAGAGGTGGATTAGGATACATAATGCAAAGGTTTTAGTCCTTCAGCTGTTGCAGTTTCAACCCTTTTAAACAGGTTGACCAGAAACAAAGTTTTCAAGGGAAGAAAAAGGCCTGTATGTCTAGTCTTTGTGCAGGCTACATCATCAAGAAGGATACACTTTATAATTCAAATAAGTGTCTTATTAAAAATGGGAGTATCTTGTTAGCTCCTACATTTTAATCTCCAATTGTGCTGCATTGCAAGATTTCCACACCGCAACCAAAATATTGCTGTGATTACAAAATGTGTACCTCCTGATAAAGTGTTGTGAGATAAAGAAAATAATCTGTGTCATGAAGCCGTGGAAATATTGAGAGCTATGACACATCTACTCTGCCTGAAGAGATCAAATTGACGACGGATGTCTGTTCTTAGCAAGAGTGTTACTACTGAGCAACCCCCTACCTCCTACTCAAAAGGCACCTGTCTCCCTTTATGTCCCTCTACGTGCCTCCAGTGCAACAGGAGAAAGCCTTCGGAAAACCACCTAATGCTACACATGTAATAAAGGCACCAATTTGACCACAAGCGCGTTCCTGCCATGCGGTGTGTGACAACATACATGTTAACATCGCCCCCCCTTCAAGACTGTGCCTACACACCCACGGGATGTTACTTGAAGAACTTGTAGCCATATTCATGGGAGCTCTCACTGAGTGCATTAGATGTTTCCCTGCTGAGGCAGATTTCTGTTGATGTGCAAAGCTCCAGCAGCACCGAGGCATTTGAAGGAGCGTTCAGAGACGGCAAGAAAAGAAGGAACTGACTCTCGGGGGGGCTTCACTCTGCTACACTACCTGTTAATGCACCACAAACAGACTGGCTTCAAAAGACCGGGGGCCTGTTAGGGGGAGGGGGGTGGGGTGAAAAACAGTACATAAAAAGCAGCACTCAGGGAAAGCAGGTAAGCAGAGTCTGACGCTGCCTGATGCAGTGAGAGAGCAGGAGAAAGATAGAGAGAAAAAGAGAGAGAGAAAGACAGTGATAGAAAGCAGAGAAAGAGAAGGGATGATAGAGAGTGATGAGGGGGGAGGAGGTGCGGAGGAGCCCCGGCCACCGTGACGGCCTCATGAATATGTGCAGGCGGCGGGTGGGCAGTCGTTGGCGCTCTGAGCGAATGATGAACGAGTTTGGCCGAGAGAGCAGGTAACGAGTGTCGACATGGCACTCAGGCAGATGAAGTGGGGGAGTGCGGACTGCACACAAATTAAGTGCAATCGGGGGAAGAAAGAAAAATAACTTGCCTTGGTCTAGCCAGGAAGAGGGCCAAGCCTCGTGCTGCACCCTAATGACAATAAATGGTTGTTGAGGCTGCCAGGGACCTTAATGATAGCGACTTGTCTTTGGGAAAAGTCCCGGCAACGCGTGACAGAGCTAAATGTGCAGGTGCGGAAAAAAGGATATGATGGGGGAGCGCGGACGTTTGCAACTGCAACAGAATTTAGTTTGGAGAAAAACTATCTCGGATACTGGATGCCATGCCATCTTTCAGCATTGGTTTATATTAAATTTGGTAAGCAGGGAAGCAAACTGCCCTTTTGTCTCAAGGCAGCACTGAAGTGTTTCAAATTGGGTTAAGGAGGAAATAGCAGTAATTTTCTGTGCTCAGGTTTGAGGGGTTTTGTTTGGAAGAGATGGGGATGCCAAGGCCAGAGAATAAATGCAATCCATCGCTGTGATGATACAATTGCATGGAACAGGCTCCCATGGAGCAATTCACCCAATATCGAATCCAACATTTTAAAAAGGAGATTGACCCTTTATTGAATCAAACGCTCCCGCATGGCTGAAAAATACCCACTTAGAAGGAGTCTCGCATCCGTGATTGGGGTAGAAAGGTTTCAATTTGACCAAATTAGTACAAATCATTTTCCTCACAACCAGATTAACTTGGACCATCATGCTTTGGAGAAACAACTAAATGCCTTCTTTCATATGACGTGCTCAATGTTGGATGCTAGCCCCAATCTTGGTTTAGTGTTTCCTTTATTTCCTATGCCCTTGTCAATACTGGGTTTGTACAAGACCTCTATGGAGAGCTTGTGGATTCAGACTGCAGTTTGGAGTAGTGGGTGTGCATGCCCCGTTCCCCTCTCCTCTGGTGTCATTACCTGGGTCTTCAGGTTGCAGATCTGCCCTTCCAGCTCTTTGATTTTCTCCTCCTTCTTCTGGGACTCGGCCTGGGCATCCTGCCGAGCACTGAACTCCTCATCGAACTGCAAAAATTCAACACAGCACACACACACACACACACACACACACACAGACACACACTCTGGTCAGGGCGTCTCAAGAGAACGGCCTACCGCGGGGCACGTCAACACACACCGAAACACACAGCCTTCGCACGCACTTGTCCCCCATCTCTATTCATAGGCCTTTGGTGGCCCTTTATCCTGTCGTCTTCTGTCTGTGTTTTGGGTCTGGCTTTCATGTGTTGGTGACGGACCTAACCTTTGTGGGAAAGCAACCCGTGTCAGGACAATGTTTTCAATGTCACCGCAGGGGCGGTCACTGCTCTCATTCCACTCACATCCAGGACGCCTCAGATGTACAAAAATGTATGCTCTCACTACTGTAAGTCACTCTGGATAAAAGTGTCTGCTAAATGAATAAATTGTAAATTGTATGTCCCCTACACAGAGGCAGGGATGTTGTGGGGAGTGAGGGCATCTGCGGGGTGGTGATACTGTACCAGGCCTTTATAGAGCAGTACCTTGAGTACCATGGAGTACCAAACCGGAGTACCTTGCCTTTAATCAGACATAAAGGTTTGAGTCACAACACTTCTGGAGGATTCTGTTGGAACGACCAATGACTCACACAGTATTGGTTGTGTACTGAAAAATATACAGTGTCAACTGATTGAATGTACTGTCTATCATTACATTGGAATAAAGTGATTTTTTCCTTCCTTTGAAGATGAGTGTGGATGCTTAATAAAGTAGGCTACTCAAGTACTGCAACCCAGTTATAAAGTACCTAAAAGTATCAGGAGTTAGGCTATCATATTGGGCTGAGTGGATGAGAGGAGAGTCCAATCTTTCCTCAACACTGTAGCTTTTACTTTAAAATGTAATTCATAAAACACATCTCAGAATTATTTCCTCTCCGATGTTTCTTTGATGCAAAAAAGCACCTAAAGTAAAAAGTTAATACATGAGAAAACTGGTTCTTTGAAGGCCCCCTATTGCAATGACAGGTCAATAAAGGGTTCTGAACAGTGTCTGTACATAGTGTAACTCGCACCCCGTCGCGGACACAAACAAGTATATGTTGGAGCATCAGCATTGATCCTTGCAAAACTGAGACAGATCATGTACCTCTGTTGCCAGCTATTGATCAGGGCCCAGAAATCAATAGCCAGTCTGGGAGCTCTAGGCGGAAAAACTTTTCTGATGGGAGTGTGGTGGTGGCATACCAATGGTGTTGAGAGGTTGATGCATTATACCTCACCTTTTTGGAGAACTCAGCAGCCTTCAGTTCGCTCTCATCCACTTTGGCTTTATCCACGCACTGATCTGTAAGACAAAAGGGGACAGACGGCAGCAACGACAGTAAGCAACCATGAAGTGACTCAGATTTTCTCAATTATACTGTACATTGTTAACATCCTATTTAAGATTTCAAATCAAACGTAAAGTTAATATTGCAAAAGAGAGAGAGAGGAAATAGAGGAAATTAGCGAAGAAGAAAGGGGGGGGAGGGGGCACCTGGGGGATTTGTATTCTGTTCGGCAGGTTTGCTGACCTTAATTTTAAAAAACTAAGCCCCGAAACATTTCTTTTCAACTCATTAAAGCACAGTGATAGAAAAAAAGTTAGAAAATCTAACATGAGTGTGTTTTTTTTTCTTCATGGATGGGCTTGGAAACTTTTAATGAGCCTTTGTTGGCAAGTCACAGAACTGTTAGTGACACTAACAAAAAAAAAGAATGAGACCTCAGTTATTTCATGATTTTGTTTCTATTTGAAGACAATGAATGATTGCATATCTAATTTAAGGCAAATAGACCTTGTTTCCTCTATGATTCATGAAACACTGCTGATGAATGTCTTCAGCTGAGTGAAAATGTTGTGAAATCTCCATGTGCTTATGATGAGACATGATGTGCCACAGTCACACCTAACAGATAATGCATTATTTATGCGTAATTAGACTACCTTATCTTATATATGTCAAGCAGCTGCAGGTGTTTCTGGGTAGGCTCTCGGGGGAGGGGATGTGGAAAGATAATAATAGAGTGGCTACGGAATATTGCGACATCCCCCACTGTGTCCGTGGTTAAACAAAAAAATATGTCAGAGGATGATTTAGAGAGATTTGGAGACAAAATATAATGTATACTGAATCACAAGACTAGCATATAAAAAAATTTGACTGATTCAAACTCGTGTTTCCATCTTTTCTTTCTGCCTGTACAATATGTAGGTGAGGGCGACCTAGGAGGCAAAACGAGAAACCAGAGACTGGTTTGAGGGCGACCTAGGAGGCAAAACCAGAAACCAGAGACTGGTTTGAGGGCGACCTAGGAGGCAAAACCAGAAACCTGAGACTGGTTTGAGGGCGACCTAGGGGGCAAAACCAGAACCAGAAACTGGTTTGAGGGCGACCTATGAGGCAAAACCAGAAACCAGAAACTGGTTTGAGGGCGACCTAGGAGGTAAAACCAGAAACCAAAGACTGGTTTGAGTGCAACGTAGGACGCAAAACCAGAAACCAGAAACTGGTTTGAGGGCAACCTAGGAGGCAAAACCAGAACCAGAAACTGGTTTGAGGGCAACCTAGGATGCAAAACCAGAAACTGGTCTGAGGGCGACCTAGGAGGCAAAACCAGAAACCAGAAACTGGTTTGAGGGCAACCTAGGAGGCAAAACCAGAAACTAAAAACTGGTTTGAGGGCAACCTAGGCAAAACCATAAACTGGTTTGAGGGCAACCTAGGAGGCAAAACCAGAAACCAGAAACCATAAACTGGTTTGAGGGCAACCTAGGAGGCAAAACCAGAAACCAGAGACTGTTTTGAGTGCAACCTAGGAGGCAAACCAGAAACCAGAAACTGGTTTGAGGAGACCTAGGAGGAAAAAAACAGAAAACAGAAAACTAGAAACTGGTTTGAGGGCAACCTAGGAGGCAAAACCAGAAACCAGAGACTTGTTTGAGTGCAACTTAGGAGGAAAAAAACAGAAACCAGAAACTGGTTTGAGGGCAACCTAGGATGCAAAACCAGAAACCAGAAACTGGTTTGAGAGCAACCTAGGATGCAAAACCAGAAACCAGAAACTGGTTTGAGGGCGACCTAGGAGGCAAAACCAGAAACTGGTTTGAGTGCAACCTAGGAGGCAAAACCAGAAACCGGAAACTGGTTTGAGGGCAACCTAGGATGCAAAACCAGAAACGGTTTAAAATGTGTTCATAATGACATGAATTCAATGTATAGTGGTTACCTACTGGGTGCAAATTCACCCTTCTAAATGTCAGAGGAAACACAGAGCTCTGGCAGACCTACCGATGAGGTGGGTGAAGTCTACATCCAGTCTCTCCCTGTATCCGAAGTCTGGGTCCATCCCATTGCGATGGAGGACCACCTGAGACACACATTCCTCTATCACCTTGTAGTACTGGGGCCTGAGAGAGCACAACACAGTTATTAGCATGCACACCAAGAACAGGAGAGTGACAAACTTACACAACCCCAATTCTCCACAAATTATCCCCTTACTCAACCTAGAGGTCACAGAATGCCAGATCGAAAAGGTTGCACGTTTGAAAAAAATAATTCAATTAAATTTGATCACCTGCTTTTTACGCAGATCGTGAATTCGCTAACTTAATCTTGGTGGCGTGGAACTCGGAGCGGCCGTCACGATGCCCACTCGCCTAATTTGCAATATTATTTGCCAATTAAGGGCCCCCATAAACCAAAAATGCAAATCTAATCAGTGTAATTAAAAGCACAATGGCAGGGAGAAGATGTCGGCGTGTTTTGGGAGGGTGACAGAGCGAGGGGGTAACGTCTGAATCAGCCGGGACTCATGTTCACACCACACAGGTTGGTGTGTGACCTTTCCCCAGTTATATTATCAACTTTAATTGCGAGTGACATTTAGCAAATACAATGTCAACTTAAGCTGAGCCCCGTAGTGGCAAATAATTAGGTTCCAAGCATGACCTTGAATGGTGCCAGTAGAAATGCAATTTTCCCACCAGAAATGTCTCATCTCCTCTCCCCCCCCCGAGCACACGGAGGCTGCATTTTAATGATTAGGGACCGTTTCCGAGGAACTGTCGCCGGCTCAAAAATCCACACTCGAGGTACAGGAATAATTTGTCACTTGCTCCCGGTCAATGCTAGTTAAATCCGGGATTTACAAAATGAATGTGGATTTTTCTAGGTTACGAGAAGTTGTTCCCAGTCATATCACACTTACTTTATGATGCCTATGCCAATTTATTTGATTAGGATTACTTCCTCATGGCAGTATGGAAATGCATGGAAAGCAATGATCAGTGTGAAACAAAAAATATGTGAATGTACACTACCGTTCAAAAGTTTGGGGTCACTTAGAAATATCCTTGTTTTTGAAAGAAAAGCAATTATTTTGTCCATTAAAATAACATCAAATTGATCAGAAATACAGTGTAGACATTGTTAATGTTGTAAATGGCTATTGTAGCTGGAAACGGCTGATTTTTAATGGAATATCTACATAGGTGTACAGAGGCCCATTATCAGCAACCATCAGTCCTATGTTCCAATGGTATGTTGTGTTTACTAATCCAAGTTTATCATTTTAAAAGGCTAATTGATCATTAGAAAACCATTTTGCAGTTATGTTAGCACAGCTGAAAATGGTTGTGCTGATTAAAGAAGCAATAAAACTGGCCTTCTTGAGACTAGTTGAGTACAGTTGAAGTCGGAAGTTTACATACACCTTAGCCAAATACATTTAAACTCAGTTGTTCACAATTACTGACATTTAATCCTAGTAACAATTCCCTGTTTTAGGTCAGTTAGGATCACCACTTTATTTTAAGAATGTGAAATGTCAGAATAATAGTAGAGAGAATGATTTATTTCAGCTTTTATTTCTTTCATCACATTCCCAGTGGGCCAGAAGTTTACATACACTCAATTAGTATTTGGTAGCATTGCCTTTAAATTGTTTAACTTGGGTCAAACGTTTTGGGTAGCCTTCCACAAGCTTCCCACAATAAGTTGGGTGAATTTTGACCCATTCCTCCTGACAGAGCTGGTGTAACTGAGTCAGGTTTGTAGGCCTCCTTGCTCGCACACGCTTTTTCAGTTCTGCCCACACATTTTCTATAGGATTGAGGTCAGGGCTTTGTGATGGCCACTCCAATACCTTGACTTTGTTGTCTTTAAGCCATTTTGCCACAACTTTGGAAGTATGCTTGGGGTCATTGTCCATTTGGAAGACCTATTTGCGACCAAGCTTTAACTTCCTGACTGATGTATTGAGATGTTGCTTCAATATATCCACATAATTTTCCTTCCTCATGATGCCATCTATTTTGTGAAGTGCATCAGTCCCTCCTGCAGCAAATGCACCCCCACAGCATGATGCTGCCAACTACCGTGCTTCACGGTTGGGATGGTGTTCTTTGGCTTGCAAGCCCTCACCTTTTTCCTCCAAACATAACGATGGTCATTTTGACCAAACAGTTCTATTTTTGTTTAATCAGACAAGAGGACATTTCTCCAAAAAGTACGATCTTTGTCCCCATGTGCAGTTGCAAACTGTAGTCTGGCTTTTTAATGGTGGTTTTGGAGCAGTGGCTTCTTCCTTGCTGAGTGGCCTTTCAGGTTATGTCGATATATGACTCGTTTTACTGTGGATATAGATACTTCTGTACCTGTTTCCTCCAGCATCTTCACAAGGTCCTTTGCTGTTGTTCTGGGATTGATTAGCACTTTTCACACCAAAGTATGTTAATCTCTAGAAGACAGAACACATCTCCTTCTTGAGCGGTTTGACGGCTGTGTGGTCCCATGTTGTTTATAATTGCGTACTGCTGTTGGTACAGATGAACGTGGTACCTTCAGGCGTTTGGAAATTGCTCCCAAGGATGAACCAGACTTGTGGAGGTCTACAATTTATTTTCTGAGGTCTTGGCTGATTTCTTTTGATTTTCCCAAGATGTCAAGCAAAGAGGCACTGAGTTTGAAGATAGGCCTTGAAATACATCCGCAGGTGCACCTCCAATTGACTCAAATGATGTCAATTAACCTATCAGAAGCTTCTAAAGCCTTGACATCATTTTCTGGAATTTTCTAAGCTGTTTAAAGGCACAGTCAATTAGTGTATGGAAACTTCTGACTCACTGGACTTGTGATACAGTGAATTATAAGTGTAATAATCAGTATGTAAACAATTGTTGGAAAAATGACTTGTGTCATGCACAAAGTAGATGTCCTATCCGACTTGCCAAAACTATAGTTTGTTAACAAGAAATGTGTGGAGTGGTTGAAAAACGAGTTTTAATGACTCCAACCTAAGTGTATGTAAATTTCCGACTTCAACTGTATCTGGAGCATCAGCAATTGTGGGTTCGATTACAGGCTCAAAATAGCCAGAAACAAATAACTTTCTTCTGAAACTCGTCAGTCTATTCTTGTTCTGAGAAATGAAGGCTAGTCCATGCGAGAAATTGCCAAGAAACTGAAGATCTCGTACAACGCTGTGTACTACTCCCTACACAGAACAGTGCAAAATGGCTCTACCAGAATAGAAAGAGGAGTGGCAGGCCCCAGTGCACAACTGAGCAAGAGGACAAATACATTAGAGTCTCTAGTTTGAGAAACAGATGCCTCACAGGTCCTTAACTGGCAGCTTCATTAAATACATTAAAAACTAGACACTCTAATGTATTTGTCCTATTGCTCAGTTGTGCACCGCGGCCTCCCACTCCTCTTTCTATTCTGGTTAGAGACAGTTTGCACTGTTCTGTGAAGGGAGTAGTACACAGTGTTGTACGAGATTTTCAGTTTCTTGGCAATTTCTCACATGGAATAGCCTTAATTTCTCAGAACAAGAATAGACTGACGCGTTTCAGAAGAAAGTTATTTGTTTATGGCAATTTTGAGCCTGTAATAGAACCCACAATTGTTGATGCTCCAGATACTCAACTAGTCTCAAGAAGGACAGTTTTATTGCTTCTTTAATCAACACAACATTTTTCAGCTATGCTAACATAATTGCAAAAGTGTTTTCTAATGATCAATTAGCCTTTTAAAATGATAAACTTGGATTAGCAAACACAACGTGCCATTGGAACACAGGACTGATGGTTGTTGATAATGGACCTCTGTACGCCTATGTAGATATTCCATTAAAAATTAGCAGTTTCCAGCTACAATAGGCATTTACAACATTAACAATGTCTACACTGTATTTCTGGTCAATTTTATGTTATTTTAATGAGCAAAAAAAAAATTTTTCTTTTGAAAACAAGGCATGTCTAAGTGACCCCAAACTTTTGAACGGTAGTGTAGAAGTATAACCTACACTCCCAAGCCTCAAAAGCCTCACAAATCACTTAATTGGACAACTACCTGGAGTTTGTTTAATTAAAGTGGTGTTGACTGAGTGACAGCCGGTGCAACTACTGTACACTGTATGTATTATGTGTATTATGTTTAACAGAAATTACCAATACATGCATATGATAATTACTACCAGACTATATGGGCCGGTTTCCCAGAGATAGATTAAGCCTAGTCCTGGACTAAAAAGCAGTGTCAATGGAGAACTGGAACCACTCCTATATATGGCATATAGAGAATCATTTTGTACTGTGGCTATGTGAGTAGCCTCATAATCACACTGTGGGTGAGGAGGTTAGGCACAGCTGCCAGCCGGTCCTCATGTACCCTCATATGTTTTCCTCCCACATAGAAAGATCTGAGGGCCGCCTATATTAGGAACGCCAGCAATCTGTGGACGGCAGATTTGCTGTGCTCTAATTTCCTCTTGGCCTCTGTGGTCGGACGCCATGCTTCTCACTGATACTCAGGGTGAGTGGTGGGGAGGCTCAGAAGGCTGATATCGTAACATGGCTATGATGCAGATAAGGAAATCAAAGCTTGTTTCAAAGTCCTGATCTTTTTCTACTTCTTTTGGAAGGGGGAGCAGGGGGTAAAAGCATTTATGTGGCTCAAATAGATGAATTCCTTTGAGCGGAGGCCTCATTGTGAACTAGATAGGCTGGATTTGTAGGGATGCATTTAATTTCAGAGAGATCCCTTCAAAAAACAAAAGTGCAGAGCTCTGAATATGCATGGGGAAACACGTACGAGTGCATACTGAAACAATTTACATGACTGGATTTCTGTTTATACTATATGTCATATATGTGAGGCTTTATTTGTGATGACAAGGAGCAAATGGTGGTTCCCTCTAAAATGTGGGAAGGCCTTATCATATCGTAAACAGATATTAGAAGAACCAAAACAAATCAAACCAGATTTCCATTAAACACGACGTTTTTGTTAAGCATGAAATGGCAAATGTTTTGTTTCAACGACTGGATTTGCCCACTCAAACGATAACGAACGAGCGCACGTCGCCCCTGTGTGGCTTAGCGCTAACACGGCTTATGACTGTCACCGATGTAGACCACATTATTATCTCAA